TCTGTCTGTCTGTCTGTCTGTCTGTCTGTCTGTATGTATGTATGTATGTATGTATGTATGTATGTATGCATGTATGCATGCATGCATGCATGCATGCATGCATGTATGTATGTATGTATGTATGTATGCATGTATGTATGTATGTATGTATACATGTATATGTGTATATATGTGTGTATGCGTATCTATCCTGAGGGGGGGGGCAGGCCCGGGGCCTGAAAACAGCTGCCCCGACCCTCCATGGGGAGACCGGGGCCATGGACTGCTTCCAAGACTCCGTTGTGACGGTCCTGGTCGGCGCCTGAACGGGCGGAAAGGGCCCCAAGAGGGCGCAATGAGGCCCAAGAGGGCTTCAGAGGCGTCAAACCGTGCATTCAAAACGTCCGTAGCCATTTTGGCTCAAGCGGCGCCCCCAAAGGCCAGGGGCCAGGCAGGTCGAGCGACTCGGCGATGGCGCGCGGCTCGCGGTGCCGCGCGCTGGCTGCCGCGCTCGCCGCGGCGGGTTCGCTGCCAAGGCGGACGGCGTCGTCGGCGAGCGGGTCGCCGCAGGTCGGCTACGAGAGGCTCGCGTACTGGAGATGTGGCTGCCCAGAGGGCCGCGAGGTCGCGTCGGAGGCGGAGTGCCTCGCGGCCGTCGTGGATCTCGGGGTGGTCAGCAGCGCCAGCTCTTCCAACTTCTGGGCGGGCAGCTACAGGGGCATCCCGCGGCAGTGCTCTGTGCACGAGTTCGAGCGCGGCTACGGATCGCCTGGGGGCCACTGGAACGGCGCGCCAACCGGGCAAGGCAGGGCCGACCTGGCCCCCGTCTGCAGAGTGCAGGCCACCATGGCGGCCACGACCACGACCACGACCACGTCGATGCCTACCATTTCGATGCCTACGGCCACGTCGACCAGCCCACGACCACGGCCAAGACTGACCGGGAGCTGCGCCCTGCCGAGCAGTGTGTACCGGGCCTCGGCCACGTGCGGCGCCGCGCACCGGAGGTTCTGGGAGGACCGCCGCTCCCAGTACGGCATGAACTGCGTGCTGGACCCCGACTCGTTGAGGATGAACTGCTCGGTGGAGGACACCTGTGTCGGCGAGGGCTACGACAAGGAGGTAGAAGTTCGGCATTCTCTCCCATACGACTGCAAGAGGTGCGACAGAGACGGTGAGACCTTCCACAGGCTGTCCTGCTGCAGCACCTGCCTGGCGATCAAGAAAAAGGGCATCCCTGTGGAGGGCGGGTGGGGCAACTACTCGGTGCATTGCGGGGGCTGCGGCGACCTCCAGGGCCTGCAGGAGCAGGCGGAGAAGGCGAAGTCGCATTACTGCAAAGTGGAGGCGGGCAAGGTGAATTGCACGTTCAGCCACCGCTGCGAACTCGGGTCTGCCAATAGAACGCAGCACGTGACGAGCTGCGCGCGCACGCCATGCGACCGCTGCAGCGCGGATGGGAGCGATGCGCGCGGAGTGCTGCAGCGCCTGCCTGGAGATCGCCTGCGGCTCGAATTAGACTCAAAGGCACGTGTGCGAGGGCTGCGACGCCATCCGGGACCTCCCCGAGGATAATTCGGTGACGGAGATTCTCACCACCACACCGCAGGACGTGCGCGGCAACCCGTCGACGGATCTCCTAGAAGTCGAGGAGAATGTGACGACTGTGCTGGTCGACGAGGCACCAGCGGGCTCCAACGTCGTGCGCGTGGAGTCGGAGGACCAGCTGACCTTCGGTGACAGGGTACGGATCACGGGTGGCGGCCTTTCAGAAACCAGGACCATCCTGGCCTTTTGGGGCGACGCGGCCTTAGGGTCCGTCGTCCTGAGCTCGCCCCTCGAGCACTCCTACCCGGCTGGGTCTTCTGTGACGAAGACGGGGTCGACGTACGCGCTGGGGTCGGACGTTGGGTCGGCCCCGCAGCCGAAGGAGGGCATGTGGAGCAGTTGGTTCTGGGAGGGCGGCAGCCTCAAGCTCTGGCAGTTGTTGCTCGCGGCGGGCTTGGCCATCAGCGCCCTCGCGATCGTTCCCGCCACGTGCGCGGCGCATTACCAGCGGCGAGGAAGGAGTTTCTGTGAAGGCGGCGCAGACGGCGAGTCCGACGAGGAGGTCGAGGAGCCCCTCATGGCTTCCTTCTCGGAGGCGCTGAAGCAGGGCCCCTTCCAGTCCTGCGCCGCGCCCGCCTCGAGCCCCGTGCAGCACGCGCGGACCGGCGGCTCGACGCCTGGGGCGCCCCTGCGCCCGGTGGTGGCAACCGCGCCCGCCGCCACGCCACCGCTGTACGCGTGCCAGCTGCCGCCGGTCCACATCGCGCGCGTCACGAGCTTCTCGCAGCAGGCCTGCGCGCAGGCCGACGGGTGCAGCTACAAGCCGCTGCAGTGACAGTCCCCGCATCGGGAGCCGAGGAGCCCTCGGCTGGTGGCGAGGTCCCCCTGAGCCCCGTGGGCGCGGGCCCCCGTCCGCCCCAACCGGCCAAATTTATGTGGACATGGAGCAGTGAAATGCTTCTGGCCCTGCCAAGATAGCCCGCGCAGCCCGGTGCCATCTAGCATTGTTTTGCGAGCTGGCCCGATGTCTACGACGATTCGGGCTTGGCTGGTCTGGGCTGGTGGGGGGGAGGGGTGTGGGGTGGGGGCGGGGGTGGTGGTGGAGGGCGAAGCACCGGCGCTCGCATGAGCACAAGCTTCCGGAGGTCGCGCGGGAGGCCCTCGCGTAGACCTTCCCCCCTTCGTTGGGAACCTGAGAGGTGCCATAATTTGGCTCATGAGATGTGCCCCACGTGATGCTTGGAGCAGTCTAGAGCCAGTGTTTTGTTTCCAGACGGTTGACGTTTTCATATATTTTTAGCCTGGCCATGTGCATGCTCTGCATCGCAGCGGTAATTGGCGGTCAGGAGCCAGCTTGTGTGGTTGGAGCCATCGCCGCTACCTTTGACCCTTCAGCGTTGCGTTCTGCACGCGGATCTCGGACTTTCTCCAGTGATTCGTCGCCCAGTCGACTTGAGAACAACGAAACAACTCCTGCGACCACACGTGAAGAATGAAGACTCAGCATCTGCTCGCAAGCTACATGAACAGGTTTCACGTTTCACTTCGATGGCATTTTAAGCCAGTCAGCTGGTAGCAGAAGCTGCGATGATGCTATAGTTGCGGGGACGACTTCGGATCACGCTGCTGCTTGAGTGCATGCATCTCCCAAGAGTATGGCTGAAGGCGAAGGTCCTCGCATCTCACGAGTGATCGTGCGGACGCCAGAGGCTGGTGCGCATTTGGCATCAGTGCCTCGCGCGATGCCCCCTCCTCTTGTAAGCTACTGACCGATGGCAGGACTGCCTGGTGCCGGTGGCTAGAATGTAACACATCGTTTCGCTGAACTACTCGTCGGGCTTGTGAGCGGAGGGCAGGATTGCCTGCGCTCCCTGCTTGACATACAAGATTTTATCATCTTCGGATGGTCACCGCTCGCATGCGTTTGCCTGGGGGCAATAGCTCTTGGCCGTCTTGAAACCCTGGAGTCATAGGGTATGCGCAAAGATCTATCAACCCAGGCATCGCTCGCTCTCGTTACAAGCTCAAGAAGCCTTGGATTCCCTCTGAGAGAGCCCCAAGACCGTTCCCAAGAGGGCTCCAACAGGCATAACACATTGATTACCCGTTGCTTTTTCAATGTTCTATGTCTTTTGTTTTTTTCACTTGTTCGAAGTTCCAACGCTCCAAGAGGGTCGGGAAGGCACCCAAGACCGCCCCACGACGGCCAAAGAGGCCCCCAAGGCCGCCCCACGCCGGCCCAAGAGGGCCCCAAGACGGCCCAAGAGGCGCCCAAGACGGCCCAAGAGAGCCCGAAGACGGTCCCAAGAGGGGCCCCAGGGGTGGACCGAAATTCCGAGGCTTCCGCCCCATGCCGTGGCCATGCCGTGGCCATGCTGTGGCCATGCCGTGGCCATGCCGTGGCCATGCCGTGGCCATGCCGTGGCTATATGCCGTGGCCATGCCGTGGCCACGTGCCATGGCCACACGCCGGGGCCACATGCCATGGCCACATGCCGTGGCCACGTGGCCACACGCCGTGGCCACATGCCGTCGCCATGCCGTGGCCACATGCCGTGGTCATACGCCGAAAGAGCCCAAAGAGGGTAAAATCGTTGATTTCCAATGGTTTTTCTAATGTTTTTCGCCCTGTCACGTTTTCCCGCTTCCAACCCCGAGGATTGGGAACAACACCGGAATTCTCTCTTGTTTTAAAAAGTGGGGCTCCTATTCGGAGATCCCACACATCCCCTGACATCTGGCCGGTACCGCGCCTCCCGACCGGAAATTCGGGCGTTGCGTAGCAAGGGGGCGAAATATGGGGGGTGAAGGGAGGTGCGCCTTTTGTGTCCCAGACGGGTCACTTCGGGCCCAAAAGGGGCGCGGACAGAGCACGTTTCTCCCGCTCATTTATCGCCCTCCTTTTGACAGCGCTCGAGAAGTTTCATAACAAACCATATCATCGTTCGATTGCTCACAGACGCGGTGCCTTCGGCGGACCCCGCCGGGCTTTCGTCGTTCGCCGTCGCCGCCGCCGCCGCAGTCGTCGTCGTCGTCGCCGTCGTCGTCGTCGTCGTCGTCGTCGTCGTCGTCGTCGTCGTCGTCGTCGTCGTCGTCGACGTCCACCCCGTCCTCGTCCCCTCGTCCTCTTTGTCCTTGGGGGGGCAACTCCAGGCAGAGCACAGCAAAGCCACACGCAGCAAACCAGCGCAATGAAGGTTGACAAAAATCAATCCTGTTCGGTATCGGGCCGATGGGCTCGTTCGTCCTCCTCCTCCTCCTCCTCCTCCTCCTCCTCCTCCTCCTCCCGCCTCCTCCTCTTCCTCCTCCTCCACCTTCTCCGCCTTGTCGTCGTCGTGCTCCTCCCCCCCTGCGTCCAGGATGTGTGGGGGGGGGAACGCTCCCCTGCATTCACTTGTTCTCGTCCTTGTCCTTCTCCCCCATTATCCCCGTCCTCCCCGACCTTATCCTCGACCAAGTTCTCCTCCCCCTCCTTCCTGCCCAAGGCGAGTGGCAATGCAATTCGAGGTCTGTGTAACGCGAGGCTATTCTGATCGCAGGTCGTGACGTCATGCCACTACCCCTGTCCTACAGCCCGAATCAGTCATGCCGACGATACGGTGTCGTTGGGAACCCTTGCATCCTTGATCGGACACCCAAGCGTCGCGCGCACTCCTCATCTTTCTTCGTCTGTGGGAGGGGATGTGCCCCCTTACCCCTGTGTTTACACATTCGGCTGCGTAGCTGGTGCGGCTGCCAGTGCCGCTGTCGCTGCTGCGAGCGGCGTTGCCGCCGCAATCGCCGACTCTACACTCTTGCCACTGGCGGCAGGGTTGCGTCGGGACGCGCCGCCTCGGTAAGCACGGGCGCTGGCGCCCCCCGTCCACCATTGAGCCACAGTGGGGGGAGGTTCGACCTCCAGTCTGTGGGCGAGGGGCGACGGTGAGTCACGCCGTTCTTCCTCCTCCTCGTTCTCCTCCCGCCTCCTGTTCAGGATGTGCCTACTGTCATGGGTCGGCCGATGGCCAGGAGCGAACGGCCGCCTCGACAGGGGAGATGTGCTAAGGTGAGGAGCAGCACAGCCAGAACTGCAGCCTGCAGCGCAGCCACAGGACCCAGAGGACCCGATGGCCGGGGTCGGCTGGAGTGACCCTTCGCCAGGGTGAACTTTGGTGCGGGCTAAAATGACCGAGCGCGTTCCACTACTCGCACAGTGCCTGCTCGCAAACCTCCGAGAAGCGCATGTATGCCTCGAATTAAAGTATCGTAAATCCCCCGCGGTGGATCCAGGCCATGTGCGAGTAGTTACTTTGCGAGTACTTGAGCTCGCTTGTCGATCAAAGGGGTCCCCCCGCCACTGGCTTGAAGCGGCTTGCACGCTCGGATTTGGCACCCGCGCTGCCCCCGAACGTCGCGCACGACAGGTCTCCCTTGCCTAAGGTCACTACTCTTATATGCGTCAGGGCTGGACCTAACGCTGTTTTGCGGGACTTCGGCTGTGTTTAGTTTTTCGTTTTTGGCAGGGAGGTACAGGAAAAAAGGTGGAGCAAAACGGCATCAAAACGACAAACAACGTTTAGGCCCAACTCTGATAGACGTGTAGCTCGGGGGTGGGGGCGCGTGGTTGCGGCGGCGAGCTGTCGTCGAGCATACCTGCTCTCGTCCCGTTGCTTTCTGTTTCTGCTCAGTCTGGCGCTCCCTCCATCACCCCGTGGCCTCGAAGATGCCCCCGGGATGCGTTGTCTCATCGCCTCGTCCCCTCTGCGCTCAACAGGCCCAGCGCCCGTTACGCTTCCTCATATTTGCTCCCTGTGCGGAGCGAGGGGAGATTAGGGGGCCACACGTGAACCCTACCCCTACCCACCACGATTTCTGAGGGGGATGGTGCGGTTCACTTCGTTCGGGAGCTCCCAAGCGAAGTGAACCCCAACCTCCCCCTCAGAAATCGTGGAGGGTAGGGGTAGGGTTCGCATGTGGCCCCCTAGAGACGAAGCAACATCCGGAGAGGGAGGACGGGGATGTGAACGAAGAGCGCGAGGGAACGAGGACGGGCAGTTAAGCCGAGTGCGTTCGAGAGGAGCGCAGGGAAGAATTTTCAATGAAGATCCGCGAAACGGTGCTCGACGTGTCCGCGAGAAGAGCGAAACAGGAGATCAGGTCGAATTCCGCTTATTTGTATGCGTGCTTCTCTTATTGCCTTTACCTCTATGCTTTCTTTGACCTTAACCTGTAGATCCACAGTTTTACGTCGGAGGTGCATACGGCGAATCATCGCCGACCATGTCCTTTTCGAAGTGCAATGCGCTTGCGGCCGAACATCGATCAAAGGCTCCCTCGATTGTGAGTGGATTCTGACCTCACCAGGTGTTAGCGGGACGACCATGGGAGTAGATGGCGTAAGCTCCAAGGCGAGGGGCCCGGGGCTTTTTCGGAGAGTCCTTTTGCCTCCTCTCGGCCACCTCGTGGGCCCCCTTTGGCAGTCTCGGAGTGCCCCTGGGCAGTGAGGGCCCCTCGCGGCTGTCTCCGAGCCCCCCCCTCCAGGCACGGCCTGAGGGTGCAAACCCGACCTGTTTGGCTGATGCTCGGGGGGGGGGGGCTGTGCTCATGGCATGCTGCAGCACCGCTCAACGATGTGCTGTTTTTCCGATCCTGCAGGGTGCGGGAGGTTCGTGTCGTGTCGACCGGCGGCGACCCCGCCAGCGGCGTTCAACGTTGAAAGCCGCGGGCGACCCAGAATCGTTCGATGCTGAACGATTTGGACGTCTCGGAAACGGCCGATCGTTCAAGGTTGAACGATCCCCGCGGTTTCGGAAACCGACGCCGAAGTCGGCACGACACGAACCTGACGTGGGCTCTTTATCAAATCTGAGTGGGACAATTTCTCCGCCTGGGCACCCGGCCAGGCGCACCTGGCACCTGGGCACCCGGGCTCGCAGGGCATCCAAGCACCAGGGCTCCGGGGCGCCCGTGCCACGGACATGTCATGGGCACCTGGGCATCCGGTCCGGGCTCTAGTATTACGCTGGAAATTGAAGTCTATGGGATGCAATGGAAGTTGTGCGACGTTTGTGCTGCAAAAGCTATGTGGTACAAGCTGTAGGGTAGTTTGTTTCGCACCTATGGGGTTGTCACTGCTCGCGCAATCATCCCATTCTCATTTTGGTTTGCAAAACCCACGCGGTGGCGATTGACCACAGCTGGCGCATCTCTGCGGCCGCACTGGCGCGCGCAAGCTCGCGCGCAGAGTGGCCAACTGGTTTTGCACAACCGATGCGGCCGCGATGGCGCTTCCCGATTGGAACTTCCCAGCTCGTCTCAAAGGCCGCGCTGGCGCACGGACACTTCAATGCGGGTCGGAATCTCGGGCGGGCGCGGTATCATGATGACTTCGCCAGCGGCGGCAACGCTGGCGATAGTAGCGAATGTGGTTACGATTATGGCGGTGACGAAGGCAAGGCCAACGATGGCGCAGATGCTGGCAAGGCCAGTGACGGTGATGATGGCTATGTGTCGATGATAGAGGTATTTGAGGAATGATGGCGGCAATGGCGGCGGCTGACGATGACGTGATGCGGCAGCGCCGATGAGGGTGATGATGAGGAAGTGCGCGCGCGCGGATATCCAAGAACCCCAGCGCCGTTTGTTTTTCTTTATGTTTTCCCAACCCTCCTGTATTGGGTTCTCGTTTTGAATAGAGCAGTGTGGTCTCCACCCTCCTTCTCCCGCCTCCACTCTCCTCCCCTCCTCCTTCTCTCCTGCTTCCTGTGTTACACTCTCCTTTTCTCTCGTGCCGTCGGGCTGCGGCGATCTGCGCAACTGCCGCCCCTTGGGGAGCTTGCGATCTGCACAACTGTCGCCACTTTCGTGGGTTCCTGCGAGGCCCAGCGGAGTTACGCCATACGCGGACCACCTCGGGACCTCGCCGCCCCCTGGGGGGCTTGCGATCTGCGCAATTGTCGCCACTTTCGTGGGCTCCTGGGAGGTCCAGCGGAGGTACGCCATACCCGGACCACCTCGGGACCTCGCCGCCCCCTGGGGGGCTTGCGATCTGCGCAATTGTCGCCACTTTCGTGGGCTCCTGGGAGGTCCAGCGGAGGTACGCCATACCTGGACCACCTCGGGACCTCGCCGCCCCCCTGGGCTTGCGACCTGCGCAATTGTCGCCACTTTCGTGGGCTCCTGCGAGGCCCAGCGGAGTTACGCCATACGCGGACCACCTCGGGACCTCGCCGCCCCCTGGGGGGCTTGCGATCTGCGCAATTGTCGCCACTTTCGTGGGCTCCTGGGAGGTCCAGCGGAGGTACGCCATACCCGGACCACCTCGGTCCCCCTGGGGGGCTTGCGATCTGCGCAATTGTCGCCACTTTCGTGGGCTCCTGGGAGGCCCAGCGGAGGTACGCCATACCGGACCACCTCGGGACCTCGCCGCCCCCCTGGGGGGCTTGCGACTGCGCAATTGTCGCCACTTTCGTGGGCTCCTGGGAGGCCCAGCGGAGGTACGCCATACGCGGACCACCTCGGGACCTCGCCGCCCCCTGGGGGGCTTGCGATCTGCGCAATTGTCGCCACTTTCGTGGGCTCCTGGGAGGCCCAGCGGAGGTACGCCATACCCGGACCACCTCGGGACCTCGCCGCCCCCCGGGGGGCTTGCGATCTGCGCAATTGTCGCCACTTTCGTGGGCTCCTGGGAGGTCCAGCGGAGGTACGCCATACCCGGACCACCTCGGGACCTCGCCGCCCCCCTGGGGGGCTTGCGACCTGCGCAATTGTCGCCACTTTCGTGGGCTCCTGGGAGGCCCAGCGGAGGTACGCCATACGCGGACCACCTCGGGACCTCGCCACCCCCTGGGGGGCTTGCGATCTGCGCAATTGTTGCCATTTTCGTGGGCTCCTGGGAGGTCCAGCGGAGGTACGCCATACGCGGACCGCCTCGGGACCTCGCCGCCCCCCGGGGGGGCTTGCGATCTGCGCAATTGTCGCCACTTTCGTGGGCTCCTGGGAGGCCCAGCAGGGGTACGCCATACGCTGACCACCTCGGGACCTCGCCGCCCCCAGGGGGGCTTGCGATCTGTGCAACGGTCGCCACTTTCGTGGGCTCCTGGGAGGCCCAGCGAAGGTACTGCAGGAATCCAGAGACCCCCAGCAGGTTTACTGTAAGAGAGTCTGTACGTTGACGTTCGGGCTCAAGGCAAGCATCCGAAGAAAAGATCTCGCCATGGTAGCGGAGCCGTGGTCCCGACCCTCCCAGTCTACGGGGTCGGGTTCCGCGGCTCCCGCTCCCGCCAGCGGCGCGGAGAGCCCCAGCAGCCTGGGGCCGGCCGCCGGCGCGGGAGCCGCAGCAGGGCCGGCCGGGCCAAGCGCCGGCAGCGGCGACGAGTGGAAGCTCGTCGAGGTCCATCAAGGCTGGAGGAGAGTGGCGAGGCAGCTACGCAAGCTGTTCAGGCTGAGGAGGACCTGGGCAGCGCTGGGTCAGCACCTGAAGGATTTCACGAAGCTGCGCGCGAACCGCCGCTGAGATGGCGGAGGAGCGCGTGCAGGCTCTAGAGCAGCAGATGATGGCGATGACCCAGGAGCTGCAGAACCGCCAGCAGAGGGAGAACGATCTCACGGCCGAGGTGCAGCGGCTCGGCCGTATGACCGAGGCTCGACCACGGGTGGACGGGGCCTGTGCTACAGCCTCGAGCCGAGTCGCTCGTGGACACTCGCACGCTGGGCAAGCCGGATGTGTTCACGGGCGAGGAACATAAGTGGAACGATTGGAAGGTGATCTTCAAGGCGTACTGTGGCGTTGTGAACGCCGACTTGCTGGCAGGGATGCGACTGGCAGAGAGCGCTGACGAGACCTCAGTTCAGAACGATGACTTCCTCGAGGAGAATATGAGGCAGGCCTCGCAGCAGCTGTATTACATCTTGCTCCTCCTCTGCCGGCAGCACCCTCTGACGACGATCGTGAACGCTGGCGAGAATGAGGGCTTCCAGGCTTGGCGCAAGCTGGTCGAATACTACGAACCGAATGCGAGGTCCCGCATCGCGGGGCAGCTGCTGAACCTCCTGAACTTCTCGTTCACTGGCGATGTCGAGGACCGGCTGGCGCTGTTCGAGCGAGAGCTCCTCAGGTACGAGCAGAGGAGCGGCGAGGCCATCACAGCCTCTATGAGGATCGGCATCGTCCTTCGGCAGCTCGAGGAAGGCCCTCTACGCCAGCACCTCTTGCTCAATGCGACCAGGCTGGTGGAGTGGCAGGACTGCCGACGTGAGGTCACCGACATCCGCCGTGCCCAGAGCGCCATCGCCCCGGTGCCCGTGCCCATGGATCTGAATGCGTTCACCAAGGGTGACGGCAAGGGCAGGTTCAAGGGCGACGGCAAAGGCAAGGGCAAGTCCAGTGGCAAGGGCAAGAGCAAGGGCGACAGCAAGGGCAAGTCCAAGTCCGACGGCAAGGGCAAGACCGGCAGCAAGTCACATGGTCAGCAACTTGGGCCACTCTGCTGGGGCTGCGGCGGTCGCGGCCACACCCAGCGCGAATGCCCGAGCAAGCACAGGGGGGCGTTGGCGAGCATGGAGCAGACGCTGGCTCGCATCAACGCCTCCCAGTCGACGAGTACGACTGTGCCATCGGCGGCCAGCTCTATCTCGACGGCTGCGACTGCGAGGCTGAGTCCGGCGGCGGCGATGTCCGGCACGAGCTCTCGACAGGTCGCAGCACTCTACCTGAACGACGCGGACGAGCAGGTCAGCTACCCGTTCGCGAACCTCCACTCCCTCATCATTCACGACCCGGGGCCGGACAAGGCGGACGTGGTCGACTCTGCGACCGGCGCGGCCCTGGACCTGAACATGATCCACGGCAACTCGGATGCGGAGGAGGTCGAGCTCAACGGCATCTTGCGTGTGGGCATCGATTCGTGTGCGGCGGCATCGGTACTGCCGCGTGGTCGTGTGCGGACTACCCGGTGCACGAGGGCGGCCAGGCGATCTCGTGCAAGACCGCCTCTGGCCACTACGTGAACGACGAGGGCGAGAAGATCCTCGTGGGGGCGATGCCTGGGGCGTCCCAGGCACGCGCTGCCAAGTTCAGGGTGGCGGACATCAGCAAGCCGTTGCTGAGCGTCGCGGAGATGGTCGACTCTGGCCATCGGCTCGTCTTCGACTCGGAGGGCGGGCAGGACATTAGCTACGCGTACCACAAGACCAGCGGAGACGTTGTCAAGTTCTGCCGCAGGAACAAGGTCTACGAGATGGACATGCACGTCGACCCGTGCGTGCCGGAGGTCTGCCCAGTCGAGGTGGCAGGCCGCGAGCCTCCCGAGGGTGAAGCCGGCCAGCCAGGCGCGGCTCACGAGGAGGTCGCGGAGGGCCCGCCGGTACGGCCGGCGAGGGAGCCCGCAGCGCCGACGGCGGCCGAGCGAGCCGCGCACGAGGTGCTGCACGAGCCCTACAGGGCATGGTGCCGGGAGTGCGTCTCCGGCAGAGGCCTGTCCGCAGGCCATCAGACGAAGGACCGCCAGGAGTCGGCGCTCGCGGTGGTTGGCATCGACTACGGCTACCTCGGTGAACGAGAGGACGCCGCGCCGCTGCTGATCGGGAAAGATTCGAAGCAGCGTTGGTTCCACGCGTCGGTGGTTCCGCAGCATCCCTGGCCGGCAAAGTCGTGGTCCAGGAGGCTGGCATCGGCTGGCCGCAAGCGCTTCGTCTTCCGCTCAGACGGCGAGGCGCCGCTCGTCACCCTGAAGACCCGCATCGGGGCCAAGCTCAAGGAGGAGTGCGGCATCGAGACGGTGCCCGAGGAGAGCGCGGTCGGCGACTCTCAGGGCAACGGCCTGGCCAAGCACGCGGTGCGCGAGGTCAAGGCCAAGGTGAGGACGGTGCGGGCGCAGGTGGACGACCTCCACGGCGTGAGCATTGGCGTCGAGCACCCAGTGACCCCGTGGATGGTCGAGTTCGCAGGCATGTCCATCAACCTGGGCAGGCGGGGCGCTGACGGCCGCGCGGCTTGGGAGCTTCGGCGCGGCCGCCCCTTCAACAAGGATCTGGCTTGCTTCTCGGAGAAGGTCCTGTATCTCCCAGGGGGCAAGCGCAAGGCCGGGATCGAGGACAATTTCCTCGCTGGGCTCTACCTGGGGCCCGCGCTTCGGACGGACGAGGTCTACATTGGCACGGAGTTGGGCGCACTGCGGGCCAGGACCTTCAAGCGGTTGACGGTCGAGCAGCGGGCTGACAAGGCCCTGCTGAACAGCCTCGTGGGGGAGCCGTGGGCGCCGGTGCCGACGGACATGGAGGTGGACGAAGTACCGGTGGCCATCGAGATCCGAGCACCGGTGCCGGCGCCGGTCGCGCCTGTGGGCGGGCCTGGCGCCCATCCCTGAGGCTGGGGACCTCCCGCCCCGAGCTCCCCGAGTCGGGCGACCACCGGCGGGGCCGCGAGCCGTCTACATCAGGAAGGACGTTGAGATCGCGAAGTACGGGATCTCCCCGGGCTGCCACGGCTGCGCCGCGATCCTCAACGGCGCCTGGGCGCAGGCTCACTCAGCCGAGCGCCGCGCTCGGATCGAGCAGGCGATGCAGGACGACGAGGAGGCAAAGCAGAGGTTCGAGGATGCCCGTGAGCGGAAGCGGCGTCGCACTGACGTCGCCGGTCCTGTCTATCAAGAGGGCGGCTCGTCCGGCAGTGGCGGTCCAGCCCCAGCTCAGCAGGTGCCGCCAGCGCCCGAGGCCGCGGCGGCGGCTGACGCGGCGATGGCTCCGGCACCACACGACCCCGGCGACGACGACATGCAGGGGGAGATCGGTGCCCTCCTGCTCTCCCTCGGCTACAGCGGGCGCAAGGCCGACGTGATGGAGGTCCTCTGCCCGAATAGGCTTGTGGGCTTTGCCCCCCTCTTCGGTCTGGTCCACGGCGGCTCGTTCGACCTGAGGGTTGGCTGGGGCCTGACCGACCGCCAGCAGCAGCGACAGTGCCGGGAGCTGATCGAGCACTTCGAGGTGTACTTCCTCTTGGGCAGTCCTCGCTGCGCGCCGTTCTCCATGCTGAAGTACCTGAACGAGGACACGGAGAAGCAGCGTGAGGCTTGCGCCATCGGGTACGAGCACTTGAGGTTCGTGATGGAGCTCTACACGCTGCAGGTGAAGCACGACCGCACGTTCTTGCACGAGCACCCCTGGAACGCGGACAGCTGGGACCTCGACGTCGTGAAGGATGTGATGGCTCTCCCGGGTGTCGAGGTCGGGCGAGGCGACCAGTGCGTGTTCGGCCTGGTGGTTGCGGACGCGCACGGCGACAGGCTCGCCAAGAAGCCGACAGGATGGATGAGTAATCACAAGGAGGTGTTGGATGAGGTCTGCAAGCGCTGCCCCAATGATACTGGCATTGGCAGCCGCCACGAGCATTCCACCTTCGTCGGCCGCAACATGCGTGTGGCGGAGAGGTGCCCGGTCAAGCTCCTCCGTGCCATCCTCCGTGGCCTCCGCCGTCACCATGGGAACAAGAAGGTGCTCGCGCTTTCGGCCCTGGATGCTGGGCCGAACGTGGACGATGAGGAGATCAGCCTGAAGGACTTCGTCGGGAAGTGGCGCGACACGCTTAGGACCGAGTTCTACGACGACCTCACCGGCCTCACGCTGGACCCCGCGCGGGTGAAAGCCGCGAGGCGCCTGGAGATGGATTTCATGGCGCAGCTTGGCGTGTGGGTCTACGCGAGGGAGGAGGACTGTCAGCGCGAGCTTGGACGGAGGCCTCTCAGTGTGCGCTGGGTCGACATCGACAAGGGCGACACCGACCAGCCGGACTACAGATCCAGGCTCGTCGTGCAGGAGACCAAGGCGCAGAGCGCCATCGCCGGGGACGACATCGGCGCGGTGTTTGCGGCGACCCCGCCGCTAGAGTGCCTTCGGCTCATCTGCAGCATGGCGATGTCGAGCGACCCGTCCGAGGGCCGCGTGCTGCGCTTCCTGGACATCTCGCGGGCACACCCGCACTGCGAGATCAAGAGGACGGTCTACATCAAGCTTCCAGAGGAGGATCCGATGTCGCAGGAGATCGGTACGTGTGGGCTCTTGCGGATGGCGCTCTACGGGACGCGCGACGCTGGCCAGAACTTCGAGCTCACGACTGCCGAGACGGTCATCGGTGCTGGCTGTGACCAGTCGGCCTTCTCGCCTTGCGTGTACTGCCACAAGGACCTTCAGGTGAGCTTCTTCCACCACGGCGACGACTTCGTGCTCGAGGGCTCTCGGGGCGGGACGGAGCCGATCTGCGAGGCTCTGAAGACAAAGTTCATCGTGAAGGACAGGGGCGTGCTCGGGCCGGCGCCTACCGACGCGAAGGAGATCACGTGCCTCAACAGGGTAGTGCGCTGGCGAGACCGATGGTGCCAAGGGGGCGAGGCCATCGAGTACGAGGCGGATCCCAGGCACGCGCAGATCTTGCACGCACAGCTCGGAATGGACCCCCGCGCTACGAAGTCATTGAGCACGCCAGGGCTGAGCCAGAAGCTGACGCGTGAGGTCGAGCGCGAGCTGAACGAGCACGAGGCGGCAGAGTACCGTAGTGCGTGCATGAGGCTGGGCTACTTGGCGCTCGACCGGCCAGAGGTGCAGTTCGCTGCCAAGGAGTGCGCTCGCGGCATGCAGAAGCCGACGGAGCGACACCTCCGCCTCCTGAATCGCGCTGGGCGCTTCTTGATCGGGGCGCCGCGGGCCATCTGGAAGTGGGGCCGACAGCGGGCACCCACAGTGATGGACATCTACTCGGACACAGATTGGGCAGGCTGCCCGATCACGCGGAGAAGCACCAGCTCAGTCGTGATCAAACATGGGCAGCACCTGATCGTGACGGCATCGACGACTCAGATCCCCATCTCCATGAGTTCGGGGGAGGCTGAGTTCTACGGCTGTGTGCGAGCGGCCAGCAGGGCCATCGGCATGCAGTCACTGTGCCAGGGCCTAGGCAGGGACGTGAGCCTTCGCATCTGGAGCGACTCGGCAGCTGCTCTTGGCATCATGCAACGACGAGGCTGCGGCAAAGTCCGACACCTCGAGACTCCGACGCTGTGGGTGCAGAAGGCACTCAAGGACGGACGGTTTCAGTTGGCCAAGGTTCCCGGGAAGTCGAACCCGGCGGACCTGGGGGCGAAGTTCCTCGACCAGGCAGCGATGCTCCGAGGGCTGAAGATGATGAATGTCGAGCTCTCGGACGCGCCTCTCTCGAGTGCCCTTCAGGCGAAGGTCTGAACCAGAGGCACGAGCGGCCATTTTGGCCTGGGAGTTTCGGCCTGCAGTCTTTCGCCCCGCGCTGTCATTGCCTTGGACGGGCAACGGCCGTCAGCGCGGCTATGGCGCGTGCTTTGATTGCAGTGCTCGACCAACGCCGTGGTCCAGAGCGCTGTGTACTGTCAATGAGTTTCAGAGCTTTCCAGGATTCGAGTATCGTGCCTGGCTGAGGAGCTGGGCGGCACGAAGGGGGCTGCAGGAATCCAGAGACCCCCAGCAGGTTTACTGTAAGAGAGTCTGTACGTTGACGTTCGGGCTCAAGGCAAGCATCCGAAGAAAAGATTTCGCCAGGTACGCCACACGCGGACCACCTGGGTACCTCGCCGCCCCCTGGGGGGCTTGCGATCTGCGCAACGGTCGCCACTTTCGTGGGCTCCTGGGATGCCCAGCGGAGGTGCGCCATGCACGGGCCACCTCGGGACCTCGCCGCCCCTTGGGGGGCTTGCGATCTGCGCAGCGGTCGCCACTTTCGTGGGCTCCTGGGATGCCCAGCGGAGGTGCGCTATGTGGAGTAGCATTGCAATCCTATTGTCTTTCCTCCTCTTGGCCTTGTGCTCCTCTCCCCCTGCTGTTGCCTCCATGCCAGCATCCATCGCCGTTTAGGGCCCTTGAGTCGTGTGGCACGCTGCGTACAGAAACATGGCATCTTCGCACATTGATGTAAATCATGTTGCATATCTTTGTTTCCACAGTTGGCACCGGAGCGTGAGTTAACAGATCCACGGCATGTCTCGCAGTGAATCCCCCGGAGCGCGCGATGGCCTGTCAGAAGAGATTCGTCAGCAGATCGTTGCTGCCGCAGTTGCGGCGGCGGCGGAAGCAATGAGGACTGGAGTGCCGGGTTCGGCGCCCGGTCCCGAGGCAACGAGGACTGGAGTGCCGAGTTCGGCGCCTGGTTCCGAGGAGGTGTACACAGGCTGGTGGGACTGGCAGTGCGGCCGCTGGGGGCGGCGAGGCGAGGAGTGGGCCTTGGCAGAAGCCTTGGAGCCGCCCTCGCGCCAGGCCGGCCGCCGACCTGACACCCAGAGCCGCTGCGTGGACAAGGAGCCACCTCCGGCCTGGGACGGACTACACCCAGAACAGACCTGGAGGACGTACCGCCGTTCTCTGGACCACTGGCTGCAGAACACAGGCATCCCAGAAACGAAGAATGGGATTTTACTTTGGAAACCCTTGTCTGGTGATGCTCATTTGATGATCAATCACCTCGCAGACGAACAGCTGCAAGACCCAGGGGCCGGAATGACAATCTGGAACATCTTGGACCAGGCCCACAAACACATCTCTGAGTTTGAAGATCAGGACGACTTTGACACAGCAGTGTACGGTCTTCACAGGGAGCGCAACCAGAGCTTGATGCACTTCGCCAACATCGCCCGGTCTGCTTTTCTGAAGGCAGATTCCCACGGCGACCCACTACCAGATCGCCGGAAGGGCATGATCTTCCTCAAGCGTGCCAAGATCCCTGGGCACTTGGAGGACCACATCATGTCCAAGACTGGCGGCTCTCGGAGGTTCACAGACATCCTGGAAGCTATCAGGATGCTTTCCCGCAGGCCGACGGCTTCACAAGCGGGGACCTTTTTAGACGTAAACGAGCAGTGTGACTCCGAGGAGGAGCCGGAGGGCGACGAAACCTTCGTGGACTACGACAGCGAGGGTGGCGAGCCCATCCCCCTGGACGAGAGCGACCTGCAGGGCGAGTGCGACGAGGGCGATGTCCAGTGGGCGTTGTCTCAGTTTCGCCAGGCCCGAGACGCCTCCCAGAGGGGCAGGCCCCAGGGTTACCGCCAGATTCGCCAGGACCTGCAGCAGAGTCGGATCGCTCGCGGGTGGTCCGGCGGCTCCGCCAGGAGCTCACAGTGCGAGCCGCGGCAGCCGCCAGGGAGACCGCCCAAGGGCCGCAGCAAGGGCAGCGGACCCGGAGTGCCAGGGCCGCCTCGGCCGCACCCGGCCCCGCGGCCGCAGCAGGGCGTCAGGCTGAAACCGGTCTCTGCTCTCGAGGCTCGCACGCGTTGCAAGACGTGCCACCATCTGGGGCGCTGGTCTTATCGATGCCCAAACCAGCAGCAGCCGCAGCAGAAGGAGGAGGCAGGGGCCGGGGCGGCACTTGTCTCATCTACCGAACCAGAGTCGTTCTTCTGCGGTATGGCTGGTTCCTCGCCGCAGGTGGGCCGCATGGAGGACCGCAGTGCTGAGCTCAGCGCGCGTCTCCTGGGCGAGAGAGCCCCCCCGACTGGGGCGGCGAGGACAGCGACGGCGGCTTCGAGCTGGTGGAAGAGCAACCGCCAGAGGAGGTGCCTGCTGCGCCCGGCCTCGACGACGAGGACCGGGAGTGGCTCGCTAAGAAGCGCCGCCGCGCGGCCGAGACCAGCCGCGCAGCGTTCCAGAGGATGGCCAAGCGTGCCGTGGTGGACGGAATTGTGAGCGACATCCGGCGCACAAAGGACTTCTTGAAGAAGCGCCATGGAGACCAGGAGCAGCTCGCGGCCGACCTCGAGAAGCTGGAGGCTCTGCGAGAACAGCACCGGGCCCCCGCGACCAGAGGCAGCGAACCTCCGTTCGAAGGCTGGGACGAGCGGATGGACCGCGATCTCCAGGAGGGCATGCAGACGCGCGCCGCGTACCTGAAGCTGCGCAGTCGGAGACGTGCCGAGGCGAAGCGGCGCGCTGGGGCAGGGCACCGAGCAGCAGAGCGGCTGGACTTGGAGCGCAAGTGGCACAAGAAGCACGACTCCGTGCTGCGGGGGAGCGACTACGTCCCGAAGGACGGCCTCAAAGGCCACGTCGAGGAGGACTTCGTCACCTCCGAGGTCGTGCTGGACAGCCGCGGCAAGGAGGTCGAGGTCGCCCACTCCTCGGTCCACGACCGCACCGCGGACGAGGTGGAGTACCGCAAGATGACCCGCGCTGAGAAGAACGACTTCCGGGCTGACGACAGGCGGCGCGATCCTGCGCAGGCCAGTTTCTACGATCGCCGAGAGCCGCAGCGGAAGTGGGAGATGCCCAAGAATGTCATGACCCCGCAGGCGAAGGCAGGGAAGCACCGCCGGCAGCGGGAGAACAGGAAGGCGAAGACCCTCTGCAAGTGGGTCAGCGCTGGGAAGGAGTGCTACGCCGGCGACAGGTGCCCGTACAGCCGCGACGTCATCGAGAGCGCGCCCGCTGCTTCGAGCGGCGCTGCGGCGGCATACATGGAGGCCAGCAGCATCGGTGAGCTTCTGCAGAAGGCGCCAGTTGCCCGGGCACGCAGCCAGGAGCCGTGGAGCGGCCTCGAGGTGACGCCTGGCGAGAGCTTGGCGGACACGGCTGCCCAGAACGGCGTCGTTGGCATCAAGGCTTTTCGTGGGCACGAGAAGTTGTTGTGCAACGAGCACGGGCTGAGGCCCACTTTGAGCTCCAAGCCTGGCACGGCTGTCGGCGTGGGAGGTCGTGCCAAGGTGCTCGGTCGCGTGCGCGTGCCGTGTGGCATTGGTGGGGTGAACGGCCTCGTCGAGTGGACGATCATCGACAACCCAGCTGTTCCGCCGTTGACCCCCGTCAACCTCCTGCACACGCTTGGCGCCGTGGTGAACCTGCCAGATTCGACCATGGAGCTGCGCCGCCTGAACAAGAGCACCGCCCTGAAGCGGCTGCCGACAGGCCACGTCTCGCACAGTTTGACGGAGTTCGCTGCTGGCGGGTGGTTTGCGCCATCCACCATGGTAGACGGCGATTTTCGAGTCGAGAAGGGGACGGTGTATGCGCCAATGGAGTTTGGACCAACATCATCATCATCTCCATCACGTCCATCATCTTCGTCGTCGTACCCTGTCTTTGCGCACTCCTACGATTTCCTTTCCTGTTCGTCTTCCAGTGCGCCTTCCCCGACGACGACGTTCACCTCTTCCCCTTCCACTACGCTCAGTGGCTTCCTCTCCACGGTGAAGGTCCAGGACCCCAGCGGTTCGTCGCAGCCTTCGGCCCGAACGTGCGTTGGGCCGTTAGTGACTGACTTCTTGCGCGTGTTGCCGGTGGCAGATGCGGCCAGGTTCGCGCCGCCGGACCGAGCCATGGGAGGAGGAGGCGCCGCTGCCGCCAGAGCAGTTCACCGTGCGCCTCAAGAGGTGGAGGCGGTTCGCCCTTCGATGCTTCGTCGTTCTCGCGGACGCGGCGTGGCAGGCCGTGTTCTCGCGGTGGCGCTCGGCCTCGTTGCAAATGCGGGAACAGGAGTGCCGCCACACCCTCGAGATGCAACGGTCGCATTCGAATCCGTATGCCGACCAGTTGATCTGCGACACCAACAAGGGGGGCTGTGGGGCGATTCTTGTGTATATTCCAACAGCACGAGCCTTGGCCGCCAGGGCCAAGAAAAACACCAAACCACCCAAAACCACGGGATCTTTGGGTCAAAGGGCCCAGGATATCCAAAACGATCCACCAGAGAAGAAGGATACATGCCCTCGATGTCAACGTGGCTTTCACAAGTACAGCGCCGAGGCCACAATGATCCTGAGGTGCGACGGCTGGAACACAGCAGACCGGGCCTGCACGTTCATCAAAGCCTTGCCCGGGGAAGTGTTGGACTACGGCCGGCAGGAAACCCGAGCCGGAGTGCTGAGTTCAGCGCCTGGCTCCGGGAGCGGATCGGCTGTGCCCCCTCCTCAGGTCTCGGTCGGTGGTGTCTCGGGAAGTGGCTCTGGACAGCCAGGAGTCGCGTCTGCCCTAAGCCAGTCAGGCCTCGGAACGGCCCTGACCCCGGAGGACCTCCGGAGGCAATGGGAACAAACGCAACAGCTCACCCAACACCTACAGCTACAGATCCAGCTTCTGCCAAGCGTCGGCGCGTCCACTGGGACCCTGCCGTCGCCGACCACTCCAAGGGACCTCGCAGCGCTGACACCTACGGTACCTCCTGGCTGGGTGATGCCCGTAGCAAACAGCACCATCAACGACCAGGAACTGTGACGAGCAAAAGCTCTACACCATCAGCTACGCCATCTACCTCATCATCGTCATCTTCTACTCTCTCCTCTATTTCTCCTCTTCCTGTTATTTCTCCTCCTGCTTTTTCGATGTCTTTCATATGCGTTCGGCCGTATGAGATTTTGAGGGGGTGTAATGTGCCCGAGCTCACGGACCACTTGGCCACTTGCGCCTCGTGGCCTTCCGACCGAGCGCTTGCTGTGTATTATGTTCCTGATGGATTGCCAGTGCGTCGTCCGCCTGGTGTTTCGGACTCGTTGTTTGGAGATCTGGCTGAGGTCATCCAGATACGAAGTAGTAGCAGTAGCAGTGGCAGTTGTGGTCGCCACAGTCCGTGCGACGGTTCTTTTGGACACGTCGTTGTCTTCGATCCGTCGCTGTTTTTCGAGTTCGTCGAGCACGGCGAGTGGCACGATGGTGACGAGGTCGCACTTTCGCGTGAAGATCGCACGCGCCTGCTGGCCAATTTGACCGGAGGCGCGCGTTTTCCGCGGAACCGGCCTGGAGTGCTGAGCTCAGCGCCTGGGTTGGTCTGTCCATCGGCGGAAGACGCGTCTGCCCAAGAAGATCCAGCCTCAGCCGACGCCCAGCAGGCTGACGACCAGCAGGCAGACGAGCAATACGACGAAAACGCAACACATCCACTGACGGACGACCAAAAACGCACCATCCAGAACATCCACAACAACTGCGGCCATCCTAGTAGGGAGGAGTTCCTGCGTGCTCTACGGCTGAGCCGGGCGAAACGTCTTGTACTTGATTGCGTGCGGAAGCATTTCCACTGCCCTGCTTGCGACGCCAAAGGACGAATGCCCAAGCCACGACCGCCAGCATCGTTTCCCAGAACCTTCCGGTTCAATGAGACTCTCGGCGTCGATCTCCTAGAATTGGACTGCCCAGACGGTTCAAATATGACTATCTGCGACATGGTATGTTGGGGTACTCTCTACCAGTTATGCGTCCCAGTAGAAGATAAAACGGCCGAGGTCGTTGCAGCTTGCGTAGCAGACCATTGGGTGCGATACTTCGGCCCGCCGCTCGTCATCATTACATACCAGGGCGGCGAGTTTGTTGGCCAGGCGTTCAAGGACTTCTGCACGCAAAACAGCATCCTCTTCCATCTGACGGACACGCGGGCGCCATGGCAAAACGGCCGAACGGAGCGCCACGGGGACATCTTCAAGAAAATTGTGATCAAAGCTGTTTGGATACATTCTCCCACGGATTTCGTATCATTTCGTCGTTAGATCTCTGAGTGTAACGCTGCAGAGAATAGGCTCAGCAATCGATCAGGGTACTCGCCGCTACAGCGGGTATTCGGCATAGGCCACCGCCTTCCCGCTGACCTCGCCAGCGATGACGTCTATGCCCCAGATGCCATCTATGACCTTGCAGCGTCTGATCGTAGCTTCGAGGAGGCCCAGCGTATCCGTGAGGCTGCCATGAAGGCGCACGCAGAGGTCTCCATCAGAGGTCGTATCGAGGAGGCTGTTCGTGCACGGCCACGTGTCCATGCCCCTCTCCGAGCAGATGACGTTGTCATGGTGTGGAAAACCAATCCGCCTTCCAGGCGTGGCAAATGGGTCGGCCCTGGAGTGTGCATCGGTAGTCACAGAGGTAGCCTTTGGATCAACATGCGCGGGGCGCTGTGGAAGTGCAGTCGGCTCCAGTGCAAGTTGGCCACTACAGAAGAGTCTCGCGGGCAGGATATTCAAAACATGCTGCTCGACGACATGCGCGCGGACCTCCTGGAGTTCCCAGGCCGTAGAACATACATCGACGTAGAGCGGGAGGGAGACCCACCTCCAGACGCGAACGTGCCGGCGCCGGGTGCGGACCTCCTTGGCGATGATGACGACGAGAACATGTCGCCACAGGAACCGCCGCCTCCAGCACCACCGCCTGCAGCCCAACCGCAGCCGGAACCGGAGATCAGCCAGGCTGATATCGACAGTCTCCGGAACGCTCTCCAACCTGATGGTCCTGCTCGCCCACGGGCGCAAACTGCTTCTACCCTGCCAGAGCTAGAATCCGAAGGACGTGGCCCGGCATCTGCCGGCGGGCAGTCTACGCCGACCGCCAGGACGGGTACGGTTGCTGCCCACGACCCTCCGCCTCCGGAGGGCGAGCCGCCAGCTCAACGACCGCGGCTCGACCTCTCTGCCCCTGGAGCAGTCGACCGGCTGGACGGCCACCCTTCGAGCAGCATGCGTTGGCAGCCGCGGGCAGGCGGAGGCTGGGAGCCCAGTGCCTTCTCTTCTGATATATTGGCAGGCGCGTCGACTACGAGTACGGCGCCTTCTACATGTACTACGCTACCTACATCATCTCATCATCATGCGCGCGAGGAGGACGACGACGAAGGATGGTGGAGGAGGTCAGTGGAGGAGGCAGTGTGGGAAAACACGGGTGCACCAGGATTGTTCTACGAGGAGGAGGTTGCAGAGTTGTTCAGTGACACTACAGACAATATCTCGTGCAATGTGTTGTTTGACAAGGACAAAGCCACAGGGCTGACAGCTGCCAAAATGCAGCGCAGGAGCGAGATACCACGACGCAAAATATCAGATTCTCAGTGGCCGCGCTTCCACGAGGCGACTGTGAAGGAGTGGAAGTCTGTGTTGCCGACAGGAGCTGTGACCATCATTTCTCCACGTGCTGCTGACGACGTCCGCAAACACCACCCGGACCGCATTCTTCCTTCTCGCTACGTGTACTCAGACAAACCAAGCGAAGGTTTAGGCTTTTCTCCAATGGCAAAGTGCCGTTGGTGTGTGTTGGGACACAGGGGCCCCGACATCGTGGAGCTAGCAAAAGCGAGTCCTACACCCCAAACCAGTAGCATGTACGTATTTTTACTTGTGGCTGCGTCTTTACAGCGTGAGGTTACATTTGGTGATTTGAAGGCGGCCTTCATGCAGAGCGACAAAGACCACGGCGACAGACCGCGTGGCAAGTTGTACGCTTCTCCCCCGCCTGGTGGGATCCCGCTCGAGGACGGGGCCTGGGTGGAGGCCGGCTCTCTGATCCAGCTCAACACCGCTGTGTACGGACTCGTCAATGCACCGGCCGCTTGGCGCAAGACGCTGGTACGTGCAATCGAAGATCTCGGGTGCCGTAGGTCGTGTTGCGACCCGTGTGTTTTCTGTTTGATGACGCCCAAAGGCCCAGACGGACATTTGTTAATCGAAGTTGATGACATTGCTGCTCACGGAAACAGCGTTCACGACGAGAAGATGCGATGTCTACAACAACGCTTTCGGTTTGGCAAATGGAAAACGATATACTGCGGCGAGGGTGATTACGCTGGACGGACCATACAACAGCACAGGGACTACGGATTCCACATCCACCAGGCGAAGTTCGTCGTCGAACGCCTCTCGCCCATCACCATTCCCAAGGGGCGCAAGTCTAACAAGAACGACCCCACCACTGACGGTGAGCAGTCTCAACTACGAGCTGTGTGGGGTGGTGTGAATTGGGTTCAGAGAGAGAGAGAGAGAGAGAGACGCGTCCAGATGTATCTGGGCTCGCTTCCCTAGGTCTGGCAAGAATTCGTGTGAGTGCGGTGCAGGACCTGTGTGATGCGAATGATTGTGTGGCTATTCTGAAGAGGGAACCCAAGCTCGGTATTCTTATTCCGCACATGCCATTGCATCTGCTACGGTGGGTGACTATCCAGGACGCTTCTTGGGCGAACGCCGCCGGCGACAAGAGCCAAGGGGCCTTCCTAGTCGGCGCCGCGACCCCAGCGGTGTGGGATTTCAAGGCAGCCCCTGTTGCCGTGGTGTCTTACGAGCCCCACCGTTTGCCGCGGATTGCTGCCAGCACTCTTGCGGCAGAGACGCAATCAATGTCGGAAGCCCTAGCGGAAGTCGAATGGGTGCGGGGTCTGTTCGAGGAGTTGGTGGAACCGTCTTTTGATATCGTCAATTGGGCGTCCCGCGCGCGTCACAGATGCCTGCTCGTGGCCGGCCGGACAGCAGATCCGAACAAAGAGTTGCAACAGTTGATGACGATATGCGACGCTAAGTCTCTGTACGATCACCTGAACAGCGAGAGTGCTGGGTGCACAGCCGACCGCAGGACGGCGATCGAGATACAGATTATTCGCTCCTCTCTGGACGCGCAGAACGGGACCGTCCGATGGGTTGACCACTCAGGGATGTACGCCGATGCCATGACGAAGCGCAGCGGTAATCTTCCACTACTACAGATAATGATGCGTACTGGCCGGTTGTGCATCACAGAGGAAACCGCGACGCTAGAGAAGCACCGGCTGGACCCGAAGGCCCGCAACAGTCAAAGCAAAACGCGGTCAGACCCTGCACAGAGCAGCGGCGTGTAGAGTGCTGTGCTCAGCGCCTGCGCCCATGTTCAGATTACGAACTCCAGTGAAGCAGTGTGCTAACACTTACGCTCACCTCATCATACTCACACTTCATATGCAGTCAAAGCAAGAGACAGGTGTCTGTATCCGTGGTGGCTCGCGAACCGTGTGCTGTTCAGCCTAGCGGACATCGTCATCATGTTCATTATGCTCTACATGCATATCCATATTCTGTGAGTGAGGAGGTGTAGGTAAGGGACCACAAGACCAACAAGAGTTTGGGGCGTGTGTGGAGTAGCATTGCAATCCTATTGTCTTTCCTCCTCTTGGCCTTGTGCTCCTCTCCCCCTGCTGTTGCTTCCATGCCAGCATCCATCGCCGTTTAGGGCCCTTGAGTCGTGTGGCGCGCTGCGTACAGAAACATGGCATCTTCGCACATTGATGTAAATCATGTTGCATAGCATTGCTTCCACACGCTAGACGGGCGCTCTTCTGAAATCACTGCTGGGTGCTCTCCTCGCGCACTGCGGGTCCTTCATAATGCCAGTCAGCATTGAGTGGTCCTGAGTATAATCGCCACATGTAAAGAAAGGGTTGGGTACGTCACAGGGTAATTTTTGAAAGGGCTCTATTTTAGAGTGCTTCGGGAACCAGAGGTTCTGGCAGAATTTTGACACGGTCGCGTGGCGGTTCGCGCGTGTGGCCCGCATGATATCGAAGACGCTTACGACGAATCACCGCCGCCCATTACAGCTTGCATTTTAGGATGCGCCTATGTGATCGAACGTTTGGGTACAGTTTTTGGCCACGCTATTGGGCCATGTGGTCCCCCAGCCGTTGTGGAAGTCTTTAGGGGAACAGAGGGGGGGTTCTGGGGCGCCTCCTTGGCCGTCTTGCGCCGTTCCTGGCCCGCCGGAAGCCGCACTGGGAGCCTCCCTGGGCTGTCTTGAGGGCCATCTTGGGCGTCCTGGAGGCCTCTTGGGCCGTCTTGCGGCGCTGTTTTGAGAGCCCCTTGGGCTGTCCTGGGGCAATATTTGAAACTTCTCGGGCGCTCTTAGGGGCCGTCTTGGAGGCATCTTGGAGGCCATCTTGGGCCGTCGGAAGCCAAAAACGGAGCAAAACCCTAAATCCTTCAAACACCAACGGCAAATCAATGATTTTGGCTTCTTCGGGCCTTCGTGTGGGCCCTCATGGAGGCCTCTTGTGCCGTCTTGGAGGTCTCTTAAGGCCTTTTGGGCTGTCTTGGGTGCATCTTGGGGCCATCCTTGGCTCTTTTGGGGCCATTTTGGCCGTCTTGGAGGAATATTCGAGGCCATCTTGGGCCATCTTGGCCGTCATGGAGGCCATCTTGGGCCGTCTGGGGCGAATTTTTCCGGACATTGAGGTGCCTGTACGACTGGCGCGATGGGTTTACGCCAGTACGGAAGTTTTGAAAAGAACCAAATACCACCACAACCTTAGCACGCCAGGCACCCCTGATACATCATTAAGGGGCGGCGGATCGAAGACGCCTACGGCGAATCACCGCCGCCCCCTGCCTTGTAGGCCCATGTGGCCAAACTTTTTGGGTAAAGTTTGGCCACGCTACTGGGCCATGCGGTCCCCCAGCCGTCGTGGAAGCCCCTTGGGGAACACGTGGGTGAGGACGAGGAGGATGAGGAAACGGATGAGGAGAACTCTTGGGAGCTTGTTGGGTCATTCTCGGGGCCTCCTGGGAGCTGCCTGGGGGACTTCTTCGAAGCCTCCCCTGGGCCTCTTGGAGGCCTTTGGAGGGTTCTGGGGTGCCTCTTTGGCCGTCTTACGCCGCTCCTGGCCCGCCGGAACCCGTCCTGGGAGCCTCCCTGGGCCGTCATGGGGTCCTCTTGGGGCGCTTCAGGGCTGTCTTGATGGCCATCTTGGGCGTCCTGGAGGCCTCTTTTGCTGTCTTGCGGCGCATTGGGGGCCGTCTTGGGAGCCTCTTGGGCTGTCCTGGGGCCATCTTGGAGCCCTCTTGGGTGCTCTTGGGGCGGCCGTCTTGGAGGCATCTTGGAGGCCATCTTGGGCCATCTTGGCCGTCATGGAGGCCATCTTGGGCTGTCTGGGGTGCATTTTTCTGGACGTTGAGGTGCCTGTGCGGCTTTTGGGGCGCCTGCCGGGTTGGGCCGACGCCCCAGGGGGAGTTTCAACAAGAACCCCAAACAACCAAAGGTCAGCACGCCAGGCATTTCTGATCAACAGGGGGCGGCGGATCGAAGACGCCTACGGCGAGTCACCACCGCCCACTGCCTTTTGGGATAGGCCCATTTGGCCAAAATTTTGGGTAAAGTCTGGCCACGCTATTGGGCCATGCGGTCCTCCATCTGGACGCCCGAAATGGGTACGGAAAGAATGGGTAAAATGCCCAACAGCAGTTCCTGTTCATTTTGAACAGGATTCGCTGTCCACTCCGCCG